AATTGTATTGGTGTAGAAATTTCAAATTTATATAATTGTTGTATATCTGGCATCATACGGCAATTATTGTATTCTTTAATTTTTATTGTATCTTTATTTTATTTTTCTTTCTCTTCATTATTTTTCTTTTTTCTTTAATTCATTTTGTCTTATACACCTTCTAAGTTCATTTGATTTAATTTTAAGCAATTTTGTTCACTGGATAACTCCTGCCACCTGTTACAAGCACTGCTTTTAGGTGACAGGCGAAAATGTGCAGATTGGTTAAATGACTAAATTTTTAGTTATTGTGTTATTTTATCCTTAACATTTTTGTCTCTTTTTGTTTTATCTTATTGTATATGTACTTTTCGCAAATAAAATTATTATTATTATTATTGAAAAAAACAGACAAAAACCACAAATGACAAAATATTGTTGAGTAACATGTTAAAAACAAGACTGAACATTGTACTATGAAAATATTATATGAAGTCAGAATACTCGAAATTCTGGTGAAAAAAACTTTTTGAAAAAAAAATGTTAATGATTGAAGTAAAAATGCCATTTTTTTTTTTTCAAAATCGGACGGAATGTTGAAAATTTTGTGTCAAAAACTTGTTGAAACTCGATTCCTCGATTCTTTCGTAAAACAAATCTGACAAATCTACAAATTGCATAAGATATGGTGAAGTAACATCCCTAAAACAAGGCTGAATTTTCTAGTCTGGTTAATTGTCTAGGTCAGGGGGTCGGGCACGACAGCGTAACCTTAAAATTTCTGAGGGATAAATTAATTCAGTGCGGTACATATCGTGAGAAACATGAATTTCAGGCAGGCAGACTATCCCAAAGATGGATTCTCACCCCTTTGTGTACTTAATTCAAAAAGACTGTTTTTTGAAAAAGTTAAAATTATACAATTTATGATATTTGTGTGTACACAGCAAACAAGAATTTTGAAGCAGGAGAAGAATCATTACAGAGATAACAACTGGAGTTATAGCTAAATGGGCTGCCTATTTGAAATGGTTTCAGTAGAGAACAATGCGGACAGCAATTGCTTAACGTTCTATAGATCCACTTTTCTAGTTATGGTATATGCATGGACATGAATGTAAATAGGTTCTGAAGAAAATAGACCTAATTCAACAATAAAAACAGCTATTGGCATCCTTCATGCGGAAACGAACAAACCACTCGAATGCAGAAAAAAAAAACTGCTACCACCGATTCATGTTTCACATAATGGCAAAAATAAGGCTCCTTATCCAAACATACGGCAAACCTGATTGACTAGATTAAAAAGAGATCAATACTAACAGTTTACGCTTTTACATAACTAGCACAGCATTAAAACCGGCTAGAAGAGACTGATTTGTTACCATACTTTAACTGGAAACTTTTACACTTTCCAATCCTCTATCAACACAACTATTTTAAAAATTTTTCGGGGACTTTCAACATAGAAGACAATAAAAAATGCGACATACCCTTTTTCAAAATGGCCGATTCGTATTCTCAGATGGTTCATTATTAAATCATAAGTTGGGATGTGCTTTTTATGAACTAAACCTTAACCATCGCAGTATGCATTCTCAGATAAATGATCATTTCACCGAACAGGCACTAGATGACAACAAGTACAGCATAAAATTACAATAATATCCACTGTGTGAGTGGGGCGCATAAGTTCCGGAACTGTACGTAATTATATAGTAGTGAAATGTCGAAACTTGATTAAAATTAAACAAAACTCTAGAACTTAGATAACAAGGCTGAACTTTGTAGTTTAGTAAATTTTCCAACTATTTGTCAAAAATAGGTGCAATTTTGGTCCACCAACTCCTCTCCTAAAGTGCCAGGTTGTTCGTCGATCTGCGAATGGATGGGCTCAAATTGAACTTATCAACAGTACATTCTACTATTAATGTAAATCAGCAAAAATCGATGGACCCACTAAAGTGATCAGCGTTGATCAATTGAATAAACTAAGCTGTACCAGTTATTAAAAAATAAAACATAAAACTATGACGTTGTGCCTCAAGATGTTTTGGTCTAAAGAGTCGCCATACTCTGAGATTTTCAGCGGTGATTAAGAAATTAAAAATTTGTTTTTACATTCATTTTACAAGCTGAAAACAGACGGAGGTCCACAGTTGCAAGATTTTGTTATGTCATGGATTATATCGAGTCTCCGGCACACATTTTCCTCGGTCGACTGGGTTTAAGAGCGAATACATAAGAGACCAAGTATTTATTAACAAAACGAGCCAGAGGCTTAGATATCCACTTAGCTCTTTTGAATCAGCGCAATATTCAAGGAACAGCATCGGATACCCTGTGCAAAGGTTGATGGGTGGGCGAACAAAAATCATCATTATACCATCAATTTTATGTCACAAACCATAGACCAGCTTGGTAAAAATGGACGGATTGCCGTCAGGGTCTTATTGACAAAGAAATCTCGGTGACCGAAGCAGTTTAATTGGCGATAAGAGCTGACGAAAAAATAATGGACGGATTGTCGAGAAGAGCAAAGAGATAAAGAAATCTCGGTGACGGAAGCAATTTAACTGGTGATAAGCGTTTAGGAAAACTGGATGGATCGGCGACAGAAGCTTAGAGACAAAGAAATCACGGTGACAGGAGCAATTTAATAAGCAATAAGAACTTTGGAAAAATGAACGGATTGTCGACAGAAGCAATTTAATTGGCGATAAGAGCTTGCGAAAAATAATGGACCAATGTGGAAAGGAGCTAAGAGATAAAGAAATCACGGTGACTGGAGAAGTTTAATAGGCCATAAGAGCTTGAGAAAAACGGTCGGATTGTCGTCAGGAGTTCATAGACGAATAAATCTCGGTGACAGGAGTTCAGAGACAAAGAAATCTCAGTGACATGAGAAATTTAATTGGCTGTAAGAGTTTGGGAAATATGGGCGGATTGTCGACAGGAGCTCGGAGACGAAGAAATTTCACTGACAGGAGCTCATAGACGAATAAATCTCGGTGACAGGAGCTCAGAGACAAAGAAATCTCAGTGACATGATAAATTTAATTGGCTGTAAAACTTCGGGAAATACGGGCGGATTGTCGACAGGAGCTCGGAGACGAAGAAATCTCGGTGTCTGGAGCAGTTAGATGGCGATAAGAGCTTGGGAAATATGGGCGGTTGTCGACAGCAGCTCAGAGACAAAGAAATCTCGGTCACAGGAGCAATTTAATTGGCAATAAGAGCTTGGAAAATAGGGGCGAATTGTCTAAAGGAACTCAAAGACCAAGAAATCTCGTGACAGCTCAGAGCTAAAGGAATACCGGTGGCAGGTCAGAGCTAACGAAATCTCGGTTACAGGACCTACGTAAAGAGTTTCGAAAAATGTCTACAGAAACCCAGAGCAGACATCAACCATAAACCCAGGAAAAGTTGGCAAACCGAGCCAAAGAAATTTGCTGATGTTGGAAAGAACAACTATGCAGATATGGAGACAAGTTCCTAAGGAGAAAACTCTTCCAAATGTTTCTCCCTGGCCTTGCTTTTCTCTTTTTTGCCCTGAGTACCGGCTAAACGAGCTCTGGCTTCAGAAAGCATTTACAGTTCATTTTTATACTTGGAGACGTAGGTTACCATGCCTAAAAATATTTCCAGCTTCTTGATGCTCGACGGAATTTTAGGCGGTCTGTAGACAAGCTAGCAGCTCGTTTTTCTGCACTTTGAATTACATATTTTTCGATTCAGTTTCAAGTCTACCTGTTAGAACTTTTACTGCTGCTTTTTTTTCTGTTTAAGTCGAGGCATATATTCAAATGTCATCTATTGCGATTTAACGTTTTTCAATCTACCAATTTCGATGTCATGAAAGGTTAAAATAATTCGCTTTAAGTAATTTAACATTGTTTTAATACAACCCAATCAAAAGCTTTCGATAAATCTGTGGAAACAGAATGGACTTCATTAGTAGTAAGTAAAAAGTCCTTATAGAGACCCAATCAGGTACGGAATCGGAATTTGACAAATCCAAGTTGACTCAAAAACCCCTTGGACTAATTTCAAAATATTCCAAGCTGAGTTCCATACAATACAATTCTGTGCTCAAGAATTAATACAGAAAAATATGAAAGGTGCATAGATTTACATAATTTCAGACAGACAGGCAGCTAAGAAGGCAATAAATGCATATGCTTTCAGGTCCAAACTGGTCTGGGAGTGCCAAATTGCCTAATGGCTTTGGGAAAATACAAGATTACTTTAAAGTTCCGGGACACAAAGGTACAGAAGGAACAGACTGAACAACCAGCTAAAAAGGAGCAGCCCTCTCACCCATGGGACCAGAACCACGACTAGGTGCACCGGAGTGTGTGCTTAAGTTGGAACTGGAAAAATGGCTCGCGAAAAAAACACTCAAGCACTGGACAAAAGCACCAGAGTATGAGGCGATTTATCTCATCAAAAAGGAAGACGAAGGAACTCCTCTCTCTTGAGGAAGAGATTTAAGGCAAATTATAGCCTTCTCTTAACTACCGGTTAAGTAGAGACAGAAACATGCCGACTCTCTCAAGAGGAACCAATGACATCAGTATATCATTTATGTACTTCCTTAAGGCAATTATCACACCAAAAGTGCGCGAAGAGGCACCGAGGAAAGCTCTTAATCTTAAGTAAAAAATTTTACTTTCCCAGATATGGCTATATTTTCTAGGGATTCCACAAAAGATCCATATAGATCACAGTGGAGGAAAGGACTCCAAAATGTAGAAGAAAGAATATTGGTCAAATACCTACAATTCTGGTGGAAAATCCTGTCGATACCTAACCAACTACAACAAAACACCTTGAAGACAAAACGTCCAACCAACTACAATCTACCTAATTAATTAAGGTACGCTTCATTTCCCTTTTTCCGGTTGAATTTTTTAATTTGTCGTTGTTAATTTTTCCTCTCCCGCTTATCAGAGGCGAAAGGGGGCATGTTGCTCCCCACCGACAAGGAGAAAGGGAGAAAGGGAACCGGCCCTCCTACCCCTGGCACCCTGGCCAAAACAGCGGTGGAACCCGGACCGTTCGGATATGGGAGCCCTAGACCGAATCGCATCCCTGTGAGTAGACGATGTTCTTTTTTCTAACAAAAAATATATTTCAATGAACATCAGAATCTTTGGTTTATTCTAATCAGTTTGCACATCTAGCAAAATATCAAGGGTACACGGTCATATATAAATCCTACACCCTAATAACCATTCGGCAATCGTGTAATTTTCAGCTTTGTATTTGGGGATTAAGAAGTTTCTGATAATAAAAATAGTGAAAAAAGAACTGTTCATATTAACGTCAATTTGGTCAAAATTGCCTAAAATATCGCGTACGGAAAAAAGAATCCTTGGCCGTGATCAGGAGCGGCGTGGGAGCAAGGACGAAAGAACCCCTTTCTAAAGAAAGTCAACTCGTACAAATGGTTCTCACGTCCTCTTGAAAGAAAAAAAAGAGGAAAAAATACGATTCTAACCCGAGCCTAGATGGGAACACTAAGTGGCATTTGAAACTAAAGCAAACTGGGAAAAACGGTTCGAGAAAAGGATGGTTGATTCCCAGGCGACTTTTTTTATATGTGCGGATAGAAGAGGATGAAATGGCAATCAGTATTGACCGGTGATAAGGGCTTGTCCTCAAAACGCTTTTACGCCCCTGACATTTAAACTGTTTTCACCTGACACTCAACAACTAAGTCCTTTATATTCATAACGTAGCTTAAAGTTGTAACCGTTTTTCGAACAGTTGTTTGGGAAAAAGCCTTTTCATTTTCGGTCTTACAAATAATAGACATTAACTTAACATTGCTCCTGATACCCAACTCGACAGCTTTCTTTATTTACTCACTACTTTTTACTTTTTTTTAATGGTTCCGGATTTGATTGATAAACCAAAATTTCAATTATATTGTAAATCACCTCCTAATGAGACATCGAGTAGTTTGCCCTGATACCCAACTTGACAGCTTACTTTATTTACTCTCTAGTTTTAACTTCTTTTAAATTATATTGTAAATCACCTCCTAATGAGACATCGATTAGTTTGCTCCTGATACCCATATTGACAGCTTACTTTATTTACTCACTTGTTTTGACATTTTTAAAGTTTTTCTTGTTTTTCATTACATATTTAAACTATTGATTGTTTCTGACCAGTAGTTTGATTGATAATTCAAAATTTCTATTATATTGTGAATCACGTGAATGAGACATGGATAGACTGCTCCTGATACTCATGTTGACAGCTTGCTTTATTTATGCACTAGTTTTAATATTTTGTATATTTTTCATTGTTTTTCATTTCATATTTAAACTTTTAATCGTTTCTGATTAGAAGTTTGATCAATAATTAGTTGTTTAGTTTTTGAGCTCCTGACTGAAAAATCAACCCTATGAGACATCCATAATGGCTCCTGATAGCCACATATTTTACCCAATTTTTTCACACTTCTTTTTCATTTCATATTTAAACTTTTGAACGTTTCCGACCAGTGGTTTGATTGATATTTCAAAATTTCTATTATATTGTGAATCACGTCCTAATAGGACATGGATCGACTGCTCCTGCTACCCATGTTGACAGCTTGCTTTATTTATTCACTAGTTTTAACATTTTATATAGTTTTTCTTGTTTTTCATTTCATTTTTAATGTTTTGATCATTTCTGACCAGTGTTTGATTGATAATTCAAAATTTCAATTATATTGGAAATCACCTAATAAGACATCGATTGCTTGCTCCTGATACCCTTCTAAACAGCTTACTTTATTTATTCACTAGTTTTAACCTTTTTTTATATTTTTTCTTGTTTTTCATTTCATATTTAAACTTTTAATCGTTTCTGATTAGACGTTTGATTAATAATCAGTTCTTTAATTTTTGAGCTCCTGTCTGAAATCAACCCTATGAGACATCCGTCATGACATCGATCCTCTTAATAGCCACATTTTTTAGACATTTCCCCCCCCCCTTCTTTTTCATTTCATATTTACATTTCTGAAAGTTTCTGACCAGTAGTTCGACCATAATTCAAAATTTCAATTATATTCTAAATCACCTCCTAATAAGACATCGATAGTTTGCTCCTGATACCCATCTTGACACCTTACATTATTTATTCACTAGCATTAATTTCATTCCAAAAAGGAGGGAAATTCAAAAGGTGTGGTTGAGATGGGAAGTTAGTGTCCGAGTGGATCGAGGTCACGATAGCTCAGGTGGTAGAGCAGCGGCGTATCAAGCCGAAGATCGTGGGTTCGAATCCCGCTCGTGCCACTGACTTTTTTATCTCAACTGAAAACCTTAATTAATTGTAAAAACTAGCATTAATATTTTTTTCATTTCAAAGCCAAACTTTTCAACGTTTCCGAGCAGTAGTTGGATTGAAAATTCAAAATTTTATTTATACTGCAAATCACTTCCTAATAAGACGTCGATAGTTTGCTCCTGATACTCAGCTTGACACCTTACATTATTTATTCATTTGTTTTAACCATTTTGTAATATTTTTTTCTTGTTTTTCATTTCATCTTTAAATTTTGGATCATTTCTGACCAGTGGTTTGATTAATAATTCAAAATTTCAATTATATTCTAAATCACATCCTAATAAGATATCGATAGTTTGCTCCTGATACCGATCTTGAAGGCAAGTTTCTTTTATTTATTCACAAGTTTTTACATTTTTTTATATTTTGATACTCTGCTCCTGATACTATGATGACAGATTACTTTATTTGTTAACTAGTTTTAACAATTTTTATATTTTTACTTGTTTTTCATTTCCTATTTAAACTTTTGAACGTTTCCGATCAGTGGTTTGATTGATAATTCAAAATTTCAATTATATTGTAAATTACCTCTTAATATGGCATCGATAGTTTGCTCCTGATACTCATCTTGACAGCTCACTTTATTTATTCACTAGTTTTTACATTTTTTATACTTTTTTGTTTTCCATCACATATTTACACTTTTGCTCGTTTCTAATTAGACGTTTAATTAATAATTAGTACTTTCGTTTTTGAGCTCCTGTCTGAAAATCAACCCTACGAGACAACGATCCATTGCTCCTTATAGGTACATTTTTTCTTCTTCTTTTTCATTTCATATTTAAACTTTTGAACTTTCCGACCAGTGGTTTGATTAAGAATTAGTAATTCGAATTAAATTGTAAATCTACCTATTAATGAAAGATCGATCGGATGCTCCTCATACTCACGTTGACTGCTTACTTTATATATTTGTTAGTTTTAACCTTCTTTTATTGGTTTCTTCATCTCTTATTTAGACTTTCAAACGTTTCTGAAACAATCGATTTTTTCATCTTGTTTGCAAGCTGATTTTGTACCAATATTTTTGATTTTTAAAAATTTTGTTCAGTTATTTCAAAAATGCTGTTGTATTCGATCCCCTGTTTAAAAATCTACCTAATAATGAGACATCAATCGGTTGCTCCTGATACCCACGTTGACTGCTTACTTTACTTAATTTTAGTTTTAAATTTTTTTTAAACTTTTTCTTTTCACGTTTATTATTTTGAACTTCTGTCTTGATCATTTGTCAACTTATTTGAGCTCCTGTCCACAAATCTACTTAATAATGAGACACGGATCGGTTGTTTCTGATACCCACATTGACTGTTTACTTTATTTATTAAGTTTTAACCTTTGTTTTTACTTTTTTCATTTTACATTTATTATTTATAACTCCTGTCTTGATTATTTGACAACTTATTTGAGCTCCTGTCTAAAAATCAAAATCCTAATTAGACATGGATCCGTTGTTCCTGATACACACCTTGATTGCTTATTGTTCCCTTTTCTTTCGAACCATTTGTATTTGTAAGTTATCTTGAGCATTGTTTCACAACCTGTTCAGACAAATATCACTATCTCCTACACAAATATCATGTTTTGCTCCTGATGCACCTTGGTTGTTTTTTCTAGTCTATGAAATAATAGAACTAAGCTATATAAAGTTGGTACATTTTAAATTAAATAGTTTTTACTACAGAGGACTTCCCTCAGGTTCAATCTTTAGTTTTAGATGACATACGATAGCCTTGATGAAGGTCAAATAAAAGGTCGAAAGTTTGGCATCATTGACCACCGACCAATACTTACAAAATAACGTCCCGTAACTTTTTGATGAACTTTTTCGTCGATCCAGTCTAGCTTGAGTTTCGTCTCTCTCTCTTGACTTGAACGATCTGAGGAGCCCAAGGGCTGATCAATTCTGGGATAGCTTAAATTATTGTTTGTATTTTTTTTAATATCACCCGCGGAAGAGATCAATCACGTTACATCAGAGCTTTGGAGGCGTCCCGGGTTGGACTTTTACCTTCCGAAATGGAACGGCCTAGTTAAAGGCCGAACGCGTTTACTTTCGCGATGTGTTTATAATTTTCATTTGTAAATTGCACTCATTGGTGTTGTGCCGGTCTAGACCCGGGGCGAAAACGATCACCTTTCACTTCCCGGACAAAAGAGCCCGAGGCTTGGTAAACGTTGCACAACCTCATGGGACTCATCTGGCTGACGGGGAGAGTGAAGCTTTTTCACGCACGCACCACGCGTCTCGTAACCGCGGTGCAGTCTTTTGTTGGTGATGACATAGCGCAAAGGATCCACATCCAAAAGAAAGAATTTTCTTTGTCGATCTCTGTAAGGAGCGATAGTGCCCATAAGATCACTATTCTGACTATTACATACGTATATGTAAAGGTCTGCCTTTTCCAATTGACAGTCTAGTCATAAGAATTCATTTTTATCTAATATTAATCTGTTTCAAGAGCTACGGTGTAATAATGATTACAGTATAGTCTGGAGCTAATAAAAATTACTATACCCACTGGCGATGTGTGTGGTAAAAAAAAGGATACCAGGAAGCGGGGTTTGCGCTCCCCAGGCACTGCAGCCTTCTGGCCTTATTTTACCTTCCTAGTTCCTTAGTTCAGTGCAATAGACTCAATCCTTCTTCTTAGAAGTATCAGGTCATTGACTGTCGCTGCTGCAATTTGATTTTTTCCGTGCGTTAGGTTAAATCTCCATTGAGCTGTTGCTTCGCATT